GATTATGTTGTTTAAGTTCTTCTCAGAGGATTCGGCTTGTACATTGCAATGCGAAGGGTGTGTGAAGAAAGAGAGTAGGTGTGCATTCGAAGTGGGCGAACCAGTCAACCGTGCCAACGTAAATATCGGGACACATGTACTGCCTCTTGTTCCCGAACCCCCAGGTATGTGCTGGTGGATGAGGACGGTGGTTTTTCTCGTGTTGTGGGCGTTCCGACAATGCAGTGAGATTCTCACTCTCACCACCAGATGCTTCCTGTCCCTGAAACGTACTGTATGCGGGACTTTCAAGCGATGAACGCCTTCGTGACATAACGAAGCACCACTCTTTTTGAACAGGCAGGATAGCATGGGAGCTGATGTCTCAATCAACATTGTGCCAATTAAAAATTCTGTGGAAAATTTCGGCTACGCACAGGGATGTCTAGAGGTGAAATTGTTTCGTTAGCTTATGCCCAACGTGCGATGTTCTACGGTCCAATGGTGCAGCCCCGCCCCTTGATTGCTAGAAGTCCCAGAAGGTGTACCGCGTGACGAGGCAACTAGAACACAAAGTGGTGACATGAAGCCGTGAAATAATAGCTGATTGCAGCTCCCTGCGAGAGGCTGGCATTGCTACACACACCCCTCCTACCCGGCTAGCAGAAGGTGTTTCTGGTGATGAAGCGGTAGTAGTTTATATGAGAAGTGGTTGTGGAAGTGGGAGTCAGCTCAACCAGGAAGACTGAGAGCTCATTGCTGATGGTGAATACCCTACTGCCTGGTGTTAACCATCTCTCACAAGAGGGCTCGATGAAGCGGAGGTTCCACTAGTGACTAAGACTTTTCCTCAATGTCCTTATCAAATAGGGCCCAAGGCCACTTTTGAAAAAGGCACTCAAAACAGACCGCAGTCACAGTGCATTTAATGAAAGGCGTTTACAGGGACAGGGTTCTTTAGCCGGTCTGTTATGACATGGCTATTTCGCACTCCACATATGCCTCTCACTAGTGCTATTTATCCATTCCCACTGCATTTTTCCATGGTTGCGAGTAGGGGACTGGTAATTTTCTAGACTTTTAGAACAATAATGAACAAGATGGATAGTTTATTATCATTAGGTTACCTTTGATATATTGAGTACGTCACGACCGCGCTATCACACATGCAGCTGTAACATCTTTCGCACGCACCGCGTACGCACGCCAAACAGTCTCCTAATGAGTACAGCCCTGTTTGTTCAATTTCAGTGTTGCTTACAATGCCTGCGTAGTGTTCAGGATAAGAGCATGGCTGGCACCATCAAATATTGCGACTTTGTAGACGTGAAGATCCTTACTTTTTTTCAAGCTGTATCCCTTTTATTTATGATAAAAATATGAAATTCCTTATCAGGCAAAGATTTCTTTTCTTTCTCACCGGTAAGAGACTCCCTCTGCCAGCCCTTGCAGCTTCT